GGCAGTATGACCTCTGAAACGTTGGTTAACATCGACCAGACTACACAGCGCAACAACCCAGAAGACAGAAATCTTCATACTCACCGCTGTGAGAACCTCAAGTCTTACAACTATCTTATTGTAATATAGACAGGCAATCCCATTTGCTTGAAAGTCCTGCAACTTCAAATAAGACCATCTAAAAGAGATCCAGCATAGCCAATCCAATCAAATGATAAGAGATTGACGATCCGAATTCCATTCCTGGTAGGGAACAGGAATTTTTCTTTGCTAACCAGGCGCAATGAAGACAGATTCTGGTGTCCACTTGTGGGAACTTCTTTCGGACAATCTCCGAACCAGCTTCCTCTATTAAATTAAAACCGTCCTGAAGGCAACTTAGTCAAGAACCCAGAACATCACCATCCACGCAAGGAGAACTTGGTTAATGGTGATTAGGGAAACTGAAGTGTGGTACATTTTGGTTCCTCTGTACTTCGAAAGGGGTATCTCAGGGACAATGCAGCTGAAAAGCTGTTCGAGTTCCAGCGTCTTCTCTCGCTTCTTTGCGTCCGAGTGACGTGCCCTTTGAACTAATCGATGCTCAGCAGGTGCTAGGTTGAAGACGAATCTTTATTTCATGTTACAAGTGCGAGGGGGCACATGTTGCCTGCTGCATTATCACGCTGAAGATCTCCCATTGGTCGACAGGGTAACGCCTACCATGCCCTCTCATTCGCCACTTTCCCGATGGAAGATGTTCCTCTGACGATTGTCATTGGCTGTGCTCTGGCTCGGGTCGCCACGCCTTCCAGGTGCCCCTGGCATTCAAACAGAGCACATGGGTGGGGGGCGAAGGGTGTGTATGGTGACACGACGGAGGGACGCCCCTGCAGGGGGCATGACGGTGCCAGGGCCAGTGAGTGAGTGCAAGTGGACAAGAAGACTTGTGTCTCAGCGTGACCGACCGAGCCACGGATATCTGTACCTCACACATTGAGAACAAGGTAGGCCACGTAATTAGGGTTCGTCGAATTGGGTCAAAAGTCACAAAATAGCGGAGGGCGAATTGAAAGGGACATGTATGGTGCATAAGAAAATGAGAAATTCGTACAAAATTTTGTTTGGGAAACGTGAAGGAAAGATAAAACTCATGGAAGACCGAGGTATGGATCCTATCTCGAAGAGAAATAGTGTACGGAGTTGTGGACTAAATTCAACTGGCTCAGGATATGATTCAAAGGCGCGACTTCGTGATTACGAACACTCGAAGGTCAATTTCGGTCTTCTGGGCACATACACTGTAACATCGTGTGGAATTATTGGTTGATACCAGCGTTTCGCACTAACACACTCTGAAGATGAAGGCAGTATGTTTCTTCGAAACGTTGGCAGCCTATCTACCAAGTCCACATGGCCTCTCAGTCCAGAGGACCAACATCGACATCGCCGTGAGACACTCTCACTGGGGAGGTTCCGAAAAAAAACAAGGAGTCGTTTGACCGCCTGATTAAGGGTCTTCAAAAAAATGCTTAAGGAAGACTGCAACGACGAGTCAGTGAGGAGCTTGGACTGCACGCAACAAAGGCATAGGTGGAGGTGAGGCGAAGTTAGTTATCACAACAGGCGAGGTCATCAATTGCGTACTCCTTATCTGGCACTGTTATTCTTTATCAGGCGCCTGAGAGCACCTGCGAAGAAACGTGTAAATATGGATTTGAGAGTTAAATTACGAGAAATGACACTGACCATTTGAAGCCGAATTAAAGCTAAGATAAATTGGGGTGGGATAATAAGAGACGATATTTAATGAAGGAAACAGATAAATGTATGCCTATGAGGTTTACCAGGTAGTGTCCATTTGTCCTCCTGATGAAGGTAGGTTGAAGAGATAGTAAGGCGTTTCGAATTAGAGAAGCCAGGATGAAAAGTGGAGTGAAGACAGAAGTTGAGCAAGGTCTTACTGCAGTCGATCGGAATTTTAAATTTCCTTACTAACCCTGGGAGGACTACATTTGGTGATATTATGATGTTAACACGGGGGGAGGCAGGTATACTTTAAGCCGAAGCCCGATTCAATAATAGTTCAGAATTCAGTCCGTACCGCAAAGGAAACACAACACTTCACCATTACAAAGATCAACTAATTAATGTGTCAGTCACTCAAGTTAAATGTTACCTTCTGTTTTAACATTCTTTAACCCTTCATAAAGCCTACAGTGTATTTATGGATTTCTCTGGACAGATTTTACTAGGTGATCTTCGTTATGGAGGCGCTTTGTGTTTTCTCTAAGGTGTGAAATGCATTTTTAAATATTATTTAGACTAGCTTCGTATTCCAAAGGATTAAATGTGTAAAAATGCATTTGAATTCAAACTGTCGCTGTGCACTTGTGAAAAACACTGTTAGCCCTAACAGATCTAAATATAGTGATGAGATAAACCAAAGCAACAATGATAAAAATAATAACAATGATGATGGCTGAGCCTACGCTGAGGCGGGTAATCGCTGCCTTCATACCGCGGAGAGCCGGGTTCTATCCCGGATGATTTCAAGTGAGATTCGTGGTGGGCGAAGTGGCACTGGGACAGGTTTCAGTCCGAGATCTTTGGTCAAACAGCACATTGTTACCCCACTCGAATGCTTTCGGATAGTTTAGTTTTTCAAATAACACCAGACATCAGAACCAACTTTAACTGACGTTTCGAACATAACGGAATGAGCTTCCGTTCGGTTCGACAGCCAGCCAGCACCGCCTTCTGACCCGCTCCAGATGAACTCCTTCTCCTTGTCCTTTCCTGTGCACAGAGCGGCGCCACAAAAACTTGTTACGCCACTCGACCTCCAACATACTTCACGCTTAAGAGGAACCCCATCGCCGTGGGCGCGCGACTGGCTACCTCGCTTTGACCGCAACCAGCAATTTGTTTCGCTCTGGCCGATCCCTCTCGTGCACGGCTATGACGGACGGACCAACACCCAGGCCTTCAGGTGATGAGTAAACCGGGCGAGAACAAATGAATCACGAAGCTAACTAAATACCATAAGCGGTGGAAATGTGATTTGTAATTATTCTTTCTGCTGTAAGATCTGTGAGTATATTGACGTGTAGTCACTGCAGGTACGCAGTAGTAATGTAGCTTGCTTCACATGTCTTCACGTTACCTTCCAAATTTTTATACCAAGGACAACAATACTTTACCACGGTGTTTATTACTTATTATCATTAGTATTATGAACTCCATGGCGCACAGTCCTTGTCGAGAAGTGTCGCCCTGTGGACTTGTAAGTAGGTACGTAGAAAAACACACTGCCTCCATCTCCAGGGCTGAAGTGAGATTATTGGTAAATGGCCAACCCTGCTGAAGATGGAAGTAGTAGTATATTCCTACAACGGCCACACGGTCTTACAACCCAGAAGATCAACGTCGAAATCTTCGCCCTGAAAACCTCCAGACTTCATTCATACGATCGTTGCCATGTTTACAGGAGCACACGAATCGTCCCTATTATTATAACGCGTAATTTATAGCTCAGTGCAATCACAGCAAATGGGGGAGGGGCAGCGCCGGGGTGCGACTACCGGCAGAGGAAGTGGTCGCTTCCACCGTATTCAGACTGATTCTGTAACCCAGAAAGTGTACCTGAGACGTTCTACCCGGAACTAAGACGGCTGGAGCTTGAAGCTGGTCCATCAAGAGTATCTTAAACACTCTTCTTATATTATTCCAATGCATAATAATAAATCTTCAGTCAGCGCTGTTAAATGAACAAACCTGGCATTTAAATTTTAGAGGCGTTCTCGAAGCATGAAATGCCACCTCTTCTTTATCATGACTTCATTCATATAATTTAATGCAACGTGAAGTCTGTTCTCTGTCCCAACACGCGCCTTATTTCATAAATATTCATCAGCTTTACGAAGGTCATTTGTTTATTTTTATTGTCCCTAAAAGAAGTTTCTCTATAAGGGTCTTCTGTTACATTTAAATTAATTTGAAATGCAAATTTCTAATCCCCGGTGTTGATTTTCATTCAAAATTTTTAGGAATGTGACCTCCGCCTGCATTACATCAGCATGAGGTAATCTACTGTACGAGTGTGTGCGTGTGTGTGAAGTGAAAGTTTTAAATGTCCAACATTAACTTGTACTAAATATTTCCTTTTTGCCCGCCACAGCCGATACTAAAACGTGAAAGAAATACGCCCGAGAAGAATATCAGCTAACAGACATCGCGACTTCCCGTTACAAGGTCAGATACTGTTAATTACTGCTCACTGACTGATACGTACTGTACAGCCCCTAACAGCCCGGCAACATGCAAAGCAACCATGCATCTCATTTGCATGTATTTCAATACATTATGCAAATCTCCGCCACTGAATGGTCTTTTACACGGTTCCGCGGCGAGAGAGAGATTCATGCATTATGTAAGTGAGTGCACCATTAGACGACCCATCGCGATTCGTTTATCTTTTATCTGACTCAGGTTTCTTTCTTGAGCGTCTTAGTGTTCCATCGCTCTTCTGTCGCGGCCCAAGCGTGGCCTTAATTAGTACGGACGGGTGAAATGTCTATGGCTCAGTAACACGTCTGTGACCAAACTGCCAACTGATTTAAGGATGACTCCGCTTAGTACGGATATTAATGCTCTGTGGTATCCCGAGTTCTGTGTTCGAGTCTTGCTGTTGTGTGTGACATTTAAACAGTAATACTTCTTAACGCGACCACGTATGAAAGCCGAATACGACTCGACTGAGCGGACATCTTCTTCAGAAGCTGATCGTCGCTCAGGCGGTCAAGAAACTCCCTGCTATAAGAGACCCACTCCCCTGCAGGTTACTTCAACCGGTGTGGAGCTTTGCTTCATACTTCGTTTACCAGTG